ACAGACACACACACAGACACACACTCAGAGATTCTGGTTTACAGAGCCTGGGGAGGGACTAAGAAGTCAGTATTTTTACTAAATGTCCAGCCAGGGTTAATAAGAACTTAAAAAAAAAAAAAGAAAAATCACAGGAAGGAGGCAGATTTCAGGCAAGGTAGAACACGGCTGCCACGTCAGGTAGTGAGAGCCCCGTCCTGAAGTCATCCAAGCAGAGGTTTGGTGAGGATGCTCTGGGGGAAATCAGGGGTGGATTTTGAGGCTTCCAGGCCTGGTTCCTCTCCTCGCATTACCAGGGTACGCTTGCTAGAGCCCCAGGACACAGGAGCCTTTGCTGGGGCGGAGTTTGCCAGTACTTCACGCCTGGTTGCTATGCAAAGCGCTCTAGCAAGCCTCCTGCTCTCCCTCCCCAGGGCCCCATCCAGGCCTGCCCACCACCATTCCACCCGACCAGAGCAGACCAGAGCAGCCACACAACGCAGGATCATCTATTTTAAGGACGGCTGATTAGCAACCTTGATTCCATCTGCAGCCTTATTTCCCTCTGCCATGGAAGGCGACATCTTCATAGGTTCTGAGGATTCAGACGGAGATGTGTCTTTGGGGGCCATTATTCTGCCCACCACAAAGGCTTCCTGAGGGCTGCGGAAACAGTGCCCCTCGGACATCGGCAGAGCTGGCCAGGCTGATGGGCTGTTGGGGAGGGGCGGGCATCTGCACAGGCCATCTGGAAAATGGCTGTTGGTGAAATGGACCGACCAGAAGCTGACTTTTTGGTCTGGGGGAAATCTGAAATGCACATTCGACTAGCAGTAAAGGGCAGAGGAGCAGAGAAACGAAACGGGCCAGTGGTACAAGCAGGTGTCCCGAAGACATCCCCAGGGCTGGGGGCTGTTTGAAGCCAGCCCAGCCCCCAAACCCAACGACCAAAACGCTGTCGACATCTGCTTCCCCAGTCAGCCCTGGAAAGAGGGAATGCATCCCAATCTAATGCCCAGGACAAAGCCAGCAGCCCATGGAGGGGCTGGCTCAGTCAAGGCCTGATGAACTGTCAGAAAACACTCAGCAATATTGTTGGGGCCGTCAATGCTCATTAAGTGCAGGTAGACGCCACCGCCCAACAACGCCAAACATGAGACAGTGTCTAATGTAACGACAGCCCAGACTCCCATGGTTCGAATCCCAGAGCTGCCACTAACTTGCTGTTTGCCCTTGGGCATGTTATTTAACCTCTCTGAGCCCCCTGTTTTCCCCCTTTGTAAAATGCGAGTCCACCTGCCTCGGAGCCTCAAGAACTACAAAAGTGCAAAAGCTCTGTCTGCTCTACGGTGAGAGCTTAAATGTTGCAACTCCCACAAGTTTCCTTTGAGGAATGCATTAACGCCAGTATTTCTAGCAATCTTTGAATGGCTCGCAATGAAAACGTTACCTTCAGTTTTCATTTCTTCATTTACACTATTGAAACATTTCAAACAATCCTAAAAGTATCCCAAATAATACAGCAAAATACCTACCACCCATAGTTTTTTTTACTTATAATAATGAATAATTTCAAACAAACCTAAAAGTATTCCAAATAATATACAAAAAAAAAAACCTACCATCCATATTTAACAAGGATTGAAATTTTGCCACGTGTTTCAAATATTTTTCAGTTTAAGAAATAAAATTAAGGCTACAGAACAGCCATCTAAGATACAACTATTGGTCTCTACTCATCCAGAGCAAAAGAGAAAGAAGGAAACCATAGACTCAGAGATTAGTCTACAGGACAAACAGTCTACACGAATCAAGGCCTCATCTACCCTGAGACCAGAGGAACTAGACGGTACCCAGCTACCGCTACTGACTGTTCTGATCAGGGCAGCAATAGATGGATCCTGATGAAATGGGAGAAAAATGTGGAACAGAACTCAAATTCTTAAAAAACAAAAACAAAAAACAGACCTGCTGGACTGGTTGAGATGACAGGACTCTCCGAGACTACTGCCCTGAGATAGTCTGCAAACCTTGAACCAAAACTAACCCCTGAGGTCACCTCGAAGGTAAATAATAACAAATCGGCTTAAAAAATAATTAGTATCACCCATAAGTACTGTGTGTGCTCCTTTTAAAAATCACCTATGAGGCCAAATGGTTAATCAGCAATGACTTTAAAACAAAGATGAGAATGTAAGGGGGCAGGGAAACTAGATTAATGGAAACAGAACAACCAGAACAGAAACAATGAGAAGGCTCATGCATTGTGAACACTGTAACCAATGTCACTGAACAATTTGTGTAGAAATTGTCAAATGGGAACCTAAACTACTCCGTAGACCTTCACCGAAAATATAATAAAATATTACTTTAAAAAATTCAAAGGTATAGTAAAAGCTCCCCTCTCCCCATCACTTCTCCCTCTCTACAGAAGGTGGTATGGTGTCTTCCCACACAGGTTTTCATAGTTTTTCTGCATATACGTATAACCACTGATTTGTCCATTAAAACATGAGTTACATGATTGGCATCCTGTTACACGAATGCTTTACTACTTGCGTTTCTAAATTACTTTGTTACTTTACAGAATTAAGAGAAGCCCCTGGGTGAAGCAAACAGTGAACGTGTTCGGCGGCTCTGGCCATCTACGTCTGAAATACCAGCTGCTGAAGACCCTGTGGCGTACAGTTCTACTCTGACACACGGGGGGTCGCCATGAGTCAGCCCTGACGACAACTGGTCTTTGGTTACCTAATGCAGATGGCGCCCTGTGTGGAAGGGACTTTGCCAGTTTACCTTCCGTGACATCACAGCCATGTGGCGAACACATGGATGAATTCTGACGGCCCCCCGGCTTGCCTCCCGCCCTGGCGGACCTGCCACGTTGACCATCCTCAGGGCCTCCTGGTTCTTGGGCGTCTTGGAGCGATTCTGGCTGCGTTGCTTGCCTCCAGCAGAGCGGACGCTGCGAAGGTGGACCTCCGTGGCCTTGAAGAAGGCCACCATGAAGGGCTGTTTGTTCTGGGGCCCGTGCCGCCCAATCAGACCCGCCAACTTAGGGTTGATGCTCTGCCCTAGACGGAAACAAGCGACAGGAGAGGCTTAGAGGAGGGCTGTTACAGGCTCCGGGTGCAGAGAGGTGATGGCATTCATGGCTCCCAATCCATTCACGCAGTCGTTATTCGTGTACCCGGCGAGTGTTTGCTGACCACTGACTACACCGGGCGTGCCGTGAGGAGCTTGGAAGACACTGTGAAAGAAACCCAGAAAACCCCTGCCAGCACGGCTTCCACGCCGGTGGGGTAGACAGCAGCGAAGTACCCAGGTAACCAGTGGTGATAAAGTGGAGACAATGAAGCCAGGAGAGGAGGCCACAGGTTAGCTGTACAGGTAACTCCATACACATTTCATTGGCCAAAGCAGGTCACGTGGTCTGCCTAATTTAAATAGGGACCAAAAAAAAAAAACCCCAAACCAAACCCATTGCCTTCGAGTTAATTCGACTCATAGCGAGTCTAAAGGACAGAGTAGAACTGCCCCATAGGGTTTCCAAGGAGCATCTAGGTGGATTCGAACTGCTGTCCTTTTGGTTAGCAGCCATAGCTCTTAACCACTACGCCACCAGGGTTTCCTAAACACGGACGGGGAAGTGCAAATCTTCTCTGGGTCAAGGAGGGTGGAACAGTTGCCAACGGCCCTAGTGATTGCCACCCCCCCAAGGAGTGGGGCCCTTGGAGCAGAGGCCTGGATGAGCAGGAGGGGGCCCTTCAGAGATCTGGGGGAAGATGTGCCGGGCTGAGGGAACCGCGAATGCAAATGTCCGGAGGTGGGAACAGTGGGTGGTGGAGAAGCAGAGGAGCGGGCCAGGGCTGGAGCTGAGACTGGGGGCAGCTGGCAAGGTTCCCGGGGGCCAGGCGCCATCCCTTCGCCATGGAGTAACCGGGGGGAAACAGGGGAGACTGCACAGAGTGCCCAGTGAGGAAGGTTCTGGAAGAAGCTTGGAAAGGAGGAAGTCCTAGACACTGAGGGAAGAGAGTGGAGGAAACAGTCCTCGTGCCCTGAGCTCTGCTGATGGGTCAAGTGAGGCAGGGCTGGGAACAGACCCAGCATGGGGCGATGATGATGTCTGGTACTCATACGGGTTCTGATGAAAAATAAAGAGATGGGGACAAAGACAGGCTATTTCACTGATGACCACAGGCTCAGAGAGGTGACCAACCGGCCCAGGACACCCAGCTTGTAAGCCACAGAATAGAATTTGAACCCAGATCAGGTTGACTGAGAGGCAGTTTCCATGACCCCTCCAGAGACGAAGCCCAAGTTAAATGAATGTGGGACCAGCCAAAGCGGTGGCTTCTGGAAGCCTTAGGCCCATTTCCGTCTGTGATTAACGTCGCCTGGAGTCCCTCTGACGCCAAGAAATCCAGCAAACTCCGCCTACCGGGGCCAGATCACCACCAGGGGGTTCACTATGGCTTTTTAATGACTCACGTTTGAACGGACAAATTCCCCCCATCCGTCATGATTTTCCCTTAACCTCTTACAATGTATGGTTTTCCTGCATTCTTGAGCAGGGTTTCCTTGAGTTCACCATCTATAACTTGAACGATTCTATAAAAGGAATCATTAAAGCTGAACCCCTAGGAATTGCGTCCCCCACCCCCACCCCCTGGAAGGCTTTTAGGCCAAAATAAAAGTGCTTCGCCGGAAGACCTGATGCTATTCCAGATATATTAACCTGACTGCTGTGACCGGTCTTGCCGCGCCTCCACGCGAGGGTGTCTGGCTGGCTCTTGCAGCTGCCATGACAGGCAGACCCAGGGACCTCAGCTTCTGATGAGCTGGGGCCCAGACAGAAGGGAAAGAACAGAGTCTCAAGAGGGTCCAAACTCACTTCTACCACTGACCAGCAGCCTGTGTGGGCCAAGGGCCGCGAAGTTGTATGCAGAGCCTCAAGCTCCTCATCTGTAAAACAGGGATGAGGCCCATTGTATCACCCAGGCCCCCTTTTCTTGGACACTCACCCAATTTCCATTTTGGCAGCTGTGCCTTCAGCTGACTCCCCCCCGGCCACAGGGGTGGGGCCCATGGTCCCATAAACCAAACCAGTTGCTGGCCAGTCAATTCCGGCGCATGGCAACACCGTGTGTGCAAGAGAACAGCTTCACAGGGTGTTCAAGGAGATCTTTCAGAAGCAGGTCGCCAGGCCTGTCTTCCAAGGTGCCTCTCGGTGGGTTTGAATACACAGTCTTTCAGTTAGTGGTCAAGCGCTTAACCATTTTTGCTACCCAGGGACTTCTGTGGCCCAATACATGGCAACTAAAGAGCACCCGGCTGCTAACAAAAAGGTTGGCGGTTCAAACTCACCCAGCGGCTCTGTGGGAGAAATATTCAACGATCTGTTCCCGTAAAGACTACAGCCTAGAAAACCCTATGGGGCAGATCTACTGTGTCACACAGGGTCACTATGAGTCGAAACTGACTCAGTGGCACCTAACAACACCAATAATCCTTCAGGTATGGATGCATGACCAAAGTCAGCCCATGAATGGAGGAAAGGCATTCTGGAAGTTTTGGAAACACAGACTTCCCACTCTTGCATCCAGAAGCAACCTTCTCTCCCCCTAGACAGGACTGAGGGAGTAGGAATGGACAGAGTCCCAGAAGGTCATCCAGCGACCAGAAGAGGGAGCACATTTTCAAGTGAGGCTGACCATGTAGAAGGCAGAGCAGAGACAGGCAGACAGACTGGGCTCTCTGGTGACCTCACCGAGCCACTGGATCAAACCCACCCTGAAGCCTGATTTCTTGCCCCCTTGATTATTTAGTCTGGGCTGGTGTTTGGGGTTGCTCTTACAGTCCTGAGGACAGGGAACCAGGTTGTGAAGAATCCCGGGCTTGTCACTGAGCAGGCAGCAAAGGGTAGGCGGAAATTATTCCTTCTATCACCAAGTTTGCGGAAAGATTCAAGTTTTCAACTGAATGCCGAATAACACCACAACGAAAAAGAGGTAGGGAAAACAGTTTGTCAGTTCCTCCAAAATTAAACACAGAGTTACCAGAAATACTAGGTATATGCCCAAGAAAACAGAAAACATATAGTCACATACCTGGTTATTAGGGGGCTGTCCTCTGCACTGTAGGATGTTTATTTAGCAGGATCCCTGGCCTTAGCCCACTAGGTGCTAGTAGCACCCTTCCCCTAACCCCAGGGTTGTGACAACCAAAAATGTCTCCAGACATGCCACATGTCCCCTGGGGGAGCAATTCGTCCCCGTCAAGAACCACCACATTATAGACACACTCGCTAAAGTAAGCCAAAGCAGACTTATAAGGTAAGGCCCAGTAGGAGAGCTTTCAGTGCAAACCTCTGTAGACGATGTAGCACTTTATTAAGACAGCGTGAGTTAATTAAATTATGGGGTGCAGCACAACTACAGAGGAGCTAACTAACCTTTCATTCATCTGTTGAACAAAAACCAAACCATGGAGCGCTGCTCTGTGCCCGGGGCCTGCACCAGAACAAGACAGATATGAAGGGGCAGAGCTGCAAAGGTGCGTGTGGAAAGTCCCCTAACAGAAATGACACAGTGTGAATACACTGGAGAGAAAAGAAATTTAAAGCACATACCAATACATGGGAGTACCTGGGTGGCACAGTTAAGTACTCAGCTACTTACAAACAGGTTGGCAGTTCGAACCCATCCAGAGGTGCCTCAGATAAAAGGCCTGGCAATCTACTTCCAAAAGGTCACAGGTGGGATCAAATGACCTGGTGCTTCCAAGTTTGGGGATGTGTGCTGCAGGCAGATGAAGAGAGCCTCCGTTATCCAGCCCACCTGCTTCCTTCCTCCAGGTTTGGGGGCCATGGCGGCAGCAGCCATTTTGCCAATGGTGATATGGTAAGAATTGGAACAATGCCAGCACATTCAAGATGGCAAGACAGAGGGAAAAAGCTGTGATTACTGATGATACTCTAACCAGGGGCCAGCAAAGTACAAACTACAGGCAAAATCTGGCCTGCCACTTGGTTTTGTAAATAAAGTTTTATTGGAACACAGCCACGCGCAATTGTTTATGTATTGTCTATGGCTGCTTTCACGCTGTAAGAGCAAAGTTGAGTAGTTATGACAGAGATGATGTGATCGCAAAGCCTGAAGTATTTACTATCTGAGACTTCACAGAAAAAGTTTACTGACCCCTGCTGTAACCGACCCACCATGAGTCAGAGGCAACTGGTTAACTAGCTCTAACCAACCCTAGACCTACTTCTAGACTAGTTAAGAAAACCACTAAGGTCCCCATAGATGACCTCAGAGGACAGAGAAGAACTGCCCCATAGGGTTTCCAGGCTGTAATCTTAAGGAAGAAGACCGCCACATCTCTTTCCCTCGAAGAGGCTGTTGGGTTGAACACTTAACCACAGTGCCACCAGGCCTCCCTCCTCATGAGACAATGAACGCATTCCTAACTGATAGGGTGGATTCTGCCTGTGGCTGGTTCTCAACCACTTAAAAAAATGCAAAAAACATTCTTACCTCACAGGCCAGAGAAAAACAGGCAGCAGATTGAATTTGGCACACAGGCCATAGTTTGCCTGCCCTTAACACAGCGCACAGGAAAACACTAGCACTTTCAAGGGCCCCCTTCAAGCTTGAGGGGCATGGAAAGGGGAATTCTAATGGGGAAGGGGGATGGATCACCAACATGAAGGAAGGAAGGGGGAGAGGTGAGGTGAGAGGAGGGAGAGAAGGTGAGAGGTGGGAGGGAAGGAGGGAGAGAGGGAGGAAAGAAGGG